GTAGTCAAAGGTCTACTTCTCCATTTGCTCCTCGAGCTTCTACACCTGAGCTCTAAGGCTCTCATTGTCAAAGGTCAGCTCAACGACCTTAAATTTGTATGTCTTCAAAACTTTGGCAAAATCCTCTAAAGATTGGACCCTGCCCATCAAGTTCTTCAAGTGGAGAGCCATCTGTGAACAAAAAAAAAAGGGAAACAGACATAGATCAGCATAATTCAACCTCACCGAGCTAAGAGCTAGTGTGAAAATACTTACAGTGGCTGCTCCCTGGAGAGCTGAGCAGAAAGAGGCCTTAGGAGGCATGGTAGAGGCCTTCTGAATATCGAATTTAGGGAGAATAGATGAAATGACGCCAACAACCAACTCAACATTGTCGAAGAAGGAATCTTNGGAAACAGACATAGATCAGCATAATTCAACCTCACCGAGCTAAGAGCTAGTGTGAAAATACTTACAGTGGCTGTTCCCTAGAGAGCTGAGCAGAAAGAGGCCTTAGGAGGCATGGTAGAGGCCTTCTGAATATCGAATTTAGGGAGAATAGATGAAATGACGCCAACAACCAACTCAACATTGTCGAAGAAGGAATCTTCATCAGTCTCCTGGCCCTCCCTCATTTCGACTTTGGGACCCCGGAGAGGCAGCTAGAATGGTTGCTCAAGCAGTCCAGGGGGTGCAAAATCTGGCTTGATTCTAGCAATCAGCCTCAATGTTCTCTCAACCTCGGAAGAGGTAGGGGAAGCCAACCCTGGCTCGGAAGTCTTTCGGGGGGCAAATTAGGCCCCTTGAAAAGGAGAAGGGGCTAGGGATTGAGATGAGGGAGTTTGNGACCCCGGAGAGGCAGCTAGAATGGTTGCTCAAGCAGTCCAGGGGGTGCAAAATCTGGCTTGATTCTAGTAATCAGCCTCAATGTTCTCTCAACCTCGGAAGAGGTAGGGGAAGCCAACCCTGGCTCGGAAGTCTTTCGGGGGGCAAATTAGGCCCCTTGAAAAGGAGAAGGGGCTAGGGATTGAGATGAGGGAGTTTGTCCTCCCTTGCTCAGGGCAGAAGAAGAGGGCACTCCCAGCTTCTACACGTTAGCTCTGTCAGCAGGGCTGCCTCCAGAGTTGGTATCGGTCTTTTGTTTGCCACTTTTCCTACTCTTCTTCAATAGGTCAACTTTGGCCTGGAGTTCCTCAGGGGTACATTTCATTATGGAGGAGCCTAGGAGATCTGGACCAAGCAAGTTAGACAAGAGAAAGAAAAAAGAAGGAAAAACAAGGGAGTCAACTCAGAAAGTGTTACCTCCTATGCTTCAGGCCTAANCGTTAGCTCTGTCAGCAGGGCTGCCTCCAGAGTTGGTATCGGTCTTTTGTTTGCCACTTTTCCTACTCTTCTTCAGTAGGTCAACTTTGGCCTGGAGTTCCTCAGGGGTACATTTCATTATGGAGGAGCCTAGGAGATCTGGACCAAGCAAGTTAGACAAGAGAAAGAAAAAAGAAGGAAAAACAAGGGAGTCAACTCAGAAAGTGTTACCTCCTATGCTTCAGGCCTAACAACTGAGATAGGGAGTGGAGCTTCAATGGATACCTCAAGATGACTGAATCACTGTGTTACTAAGACCCAAGGCTTGATGAGCTCGGAGTACTTCTCTGGATTTCACTTCTTCTACTTTCACTTTACCCTCTCGTCCTCAGTACTGAGCTCTGGTCGAATACCTGAAAAGCAACACAAGGAGAGCAAAGGTCAAAAAGACGACTCAACGATTCCCAAATCAAAGCTCAATCAGTTCGAGCAAGAGCTCACCTAAGTTATCAGGGGCGGACCAAGTTCTNTCAAAGCTCAATCAGTTCGAGCAAGAGCTCACCTAAGTTATCAGGGGCAGACCAAGTTTTAGGGATACCTAGAGAATCAGTCCTATCAATAGGGTTGTACTCCCAGTTGGTGCCCCCAACAAAAAGGAATTATTTCTTCCAACCCTTATGGGAGCTCGGGAGATAAGTAATGATTTGCCTAGCCGTGGTTCATTTGAAAATATATAAGAAACCCTCTGATGATGTGAGCTTGACATTAAAGAGATCCATAAGCAAGGAAAGGTTGGGGACCCCGAGTCCATGAATCTTGAAGAAAACCAGAAGACCCACAAGTACACCCCAAAAATTAGGGGAGAGCTGAGCAGGACAGACATTNGAATCAGTCCTATCAATAGGGTTGTACTCCCAGTTGGTGCCCCCAACAAAAATGAATTATTTCTTCCAACCCTTATGGGAGCTCAGGAGATAAGTAATGATTTGCCTAGCCGTGGTTCGTTTGAAAATATATAAGAAACCCTCTGATGATGTGAGCTTGACATTAAAGAGATCCATAAGCAAGGAAAGGTTGGGGACCCCGAGTCCATGAATCTTGAAGAAAACCAGAAGACCCACAAGTACACCCCAAAAATTAGGGGAGAGCTGAGCAGGACAGACATTGAAGTGTTACAAAACACTCTTGATAAAGGGATGGATAGAGAAGCGAAGGCCATTCTAAAAAACTGCCACAAAGAAACATACCCTCTTATGAACTTGGGCAATGTATGAGGTGTATTTATCTGGACACTAGGGTTGGACACCAGGAGGAAAACCGTAACGCGCACTGAGAATTCTCACATAAGAAGAGTCAACCTCACTGGGTCCTATGAGCTCAGTATGCCTAAAGACGGCCCCTATGCCCGCTGTGCTGTCAGAGACTCCTATCCCACTCACCTTGCCCTTTACCTTTGATAGGATTAGGGGACACAGAAGAAGACAATGGGGATGATTCCTTAGTATTTTTCTCGGCATCGATAGCATCCACACCGGGGAAGTTGTCGATTTCTTCGCCTACATCCCCTAAATCAGTGTCCTCTTCGGTAGACCTTTCCCCCAAGAGAGAAGCAAAGGAGCATGTAACTCTAGAAGGGGTAGACATGGCTGTATAGGAGAAGGGGTAAACTGAAAGAACGGTAGAGAGGGGGAATACCGATTAAGCACTCCCTAATAACCTTAGGGCAGCGCAGTAGCTTCCAATAGCAAGAATTCGCACGATAGAAGACCAGTCCACGAAGTGGGGGAGAGGAGACAAGCAGTAATTTCGATTCCAAAAGTAAAAGAACTGAAAGGCCTAGAAATACAATGGTCACCTCGAATTCGAGGGATCCAGAACGAGGAAAGATGAAAAAGGGACAAAAGGGCGTACCTAGGGGGAAAGAGCAACGAACAGCAGCCTAGAGTGAAATGGAAGAAAAAGGGCAATGCGAATCCTCAAATCAAACCCACAGAACTCGATCTTGAACGAGGAATCAGAGAATTTCAAACCAGAAAGTCAAGAAATCACAAGAAGAGAAAAACATCAGAGAAGTTGAATAGTGGAATAGGACGGTTCAGATAGCCATTTGAGCATTTAAAGCCTAAAAGATGTGGATTGAAACGTGCGCAGGAAACGAGGAAGCCATGATTGTTGAAAGTCGCCAAAAAGGCCAAACTCACATGGGGGCCAAGGTCAGCCACGTGCAGATCCTACTCAGTTTACAAAACAGCTCAACCCTTGCCCAAGCTCGCTTGAACCAGGGGCTGGGGGGCAACTGATGATACCTCAAACAAGTCCTAGCTGTGAGGTCGGGTCAGGGGGTCAGGAAAGACCTGAGAAACTCAGAGAACTAGGGGTGGAGTTCCCCTTGGGGAGATCGTAGTTGGACCGACCATGAAACAGTTGGGTGACTGCGGGAATTGGGCCCCATGCATGAAACTCTCAACCCAATCAAGATTCTCTCCTAAAATCAAGGAGGATCTCATGAATAATGGGCAAAAATATCAGCTGAAATTCCACGGAATAGGGGCAGCCTTATAAATACTATGCAACGCCTCATCGTGAGGCGGACGAATGAGAGAAAAACCCTAATCAATTTAGCACTGTCTTGTATTACATTCAACTAGTCAATAGAGAAAAAGAAGGAGCAAAAACCTCCATTGAAGAGTGGACTAGCCGAGTTTTTGAGCCGGTGAATCACTATATTGTCACTCTGTACACCCCTCAAATCCCCTCAATATTTCATTGCAGCATCATACACGAGTCTTGCAGCTCTGATCCACGCTCATCTTATGTTATTAGCATCTTTTGCTCATTCACGTTGATTTACGCCTTCAATGATTATTTAAATTAATGATTAAATTCTTAATCTATTAAATTAATTAAGAAATATGGTGTCAATATTATAATTAAAATAAATATAAATATGGGGTCGACCGGTAGTTTTTTCAACCTTATTCGAAGGGAATGTGGCAATCAGAAGTTTTATGTGTCAAGGTATCCCAATGTAACTTTTTGAATGTGGAGGAGTGTCAATATAATAAAATCAAATGTGATGGATGGGAATAAAATTTACGCTTTGAAGAGTCGACAGTTTTGTAGCTGACGTGAAGTTAGAGTAAAAATAGAATGGATCTCCTCTGTAATAATAACCAAAAGTTTATAAAATTGGTAGCACTATATACTATACAGACTACGGTACACACCTCTCTCTCTCTCTCATGCTCAAACTTTCACAGCTCTCAATGCGTTACTTGAACAGCAAGCGTTACAGGGGTCTACCACGTCACTCCTGTTCACACTTCTCTTTCTCTCTGTGTAATTAAACTCACAGCTCGCCGTTTTAACCCCCCATAAACTATGGTCTCTCTCATTGAATGCTCTGAAACCTCCTACATTCTGCGCCGTTCAAGAATAGTGGCCCAAAATACATCCCCTCCCCCTCCCAAAAAAGAAAAAAAAAAAACAAACTCCTTGCACAGCATATGTGGGTTACTTTAGGCCTCCAACATTTTACATTTTAATATATAATACTTGCATGATCTAAACCTAATCATACTCAGCTGTCTATATAAACTCCCCACACCCTATTTCAGTCCTTCCTATCACCTCTCTCTCTCTCTCTCTCTCTCTCTCTCTCTCTCTCTCTCTCTGGCGCGCGCGCTAGAAGGCATTAGAGTTTGTCTTTTTTTGTTGGGATGGATTTGGGTATGGTTTCAAAGGACACCAACTGGTGGTTGTTTACACTACCAGCGTTTCTCGGATCCAAAAACATTCTAGATGAATATCTGATATTAACTCTCCTAGTAATCTGTGTCTTCCTCACCCTTTTGACATGGGCCTTTTCCGTCGGCGGCGTAGCATGGAAAAACGGAAGGAACCGAAACGGCACCGTTCCGATTCCCGGAACTCGTGGTCTACCCATCGTCGGAAGCCTATTTACCCTCAGCCGTGGCTTGGCACACCGCTCCCTCGCCGAGATGGCGTTGAAGTCCGGCGCCACCCAGCTCATGGCTTTCAGCCTCGGCTCCACCCCGGTGGTTGTGGCTTCCGACCCACACACCGCCCGAGAGATTTTGACTTCGCCGTACTTCGCCGACCGTCCGATCAAGCAGTCCGCTAAAAGCCTCATGTTCGGCCGAGCCATTGGCTTCGCGCCGAACGGGGCTTACTGGCGGCACCTGAGACGAATCGCTTCCTCTCACCTCTTCGCACCCCGGCGCATTGCAGCCCACGAAGCGGGACGCCAGCTAGACTGCGCCGCTATGTTGTGCGACATAGCACACGAACAGTCACTTCATGGAGTTGTCTCTTTGAGAAAGCATTTACAATCGGCGGCGCTGAGCAATATAATGGGCAGTGTTTTTGGCAAACATTACGACCCTGCGCAGGATAGCGAGGAGCTCCAAGAGCTCAAGGACATGGTCAGAGAAGGGTTTGAACTCTTGGGTGCTTTTAACTGGTCTGATTATCTTCCATGGCTTAATTATCTTTACGACCCATTTCGTATAGTTCAGCGATGTGAACTTCTCGTGCCCCGAGTAAGAAAACTAGTCAAAAACATCATTGAAGAACACAAATCCAGTGAGTCAATGGTCTCTGATAATGCCGATTTTGTTGATGTCTTGCTTTCTTTGGATGGTGATGAGAAGCTCGAAGAAAATGATATGGTTGCTGTCTTGTGGGTACGTACAAAATACCTTTTATTTTTCATACTGTTACATATTGTTTTGAAACCTATTATTTGATCTGAGTTACAACTCACTGAGTTAGGGTTTGGGTTGCATGCAGGAGATGATTTTCAGAGGAACTGATACTAGTGCTTTGTTGACGGAATGGGTCATGGCTGAGTTAGTGTTGAACCAAGAGGTTCAAGCCAAGCTTCAAGAAGAGATTGACAGTGCTGTGAGGAACACGACCGTGACGGACGCTGACGTGGCAAGATTGCCTTACCTTCAAGCCGTAGTCAAGGAAACTCTTCGACTCCACCCACCCGGCCCGCTTCTCTCGTGGGCCAGGTTGTCTACGTCGGATGTCCAGCTCAGCAATGGAATGGTGATTCCCGCCAACACCACAGCCATGGTCAACATGTGGGCCATCACCCATGACTCAAAAGTTTGGGTGGATCCACTTGAATTCAAGCCCGAGAGGTTTCTAGAGAGAGAAGGTGGTGCTGACGTGGACGTGAGGGGTGGTGACCTGAGGCTCGCACCCTTTGGGGCTGGACGCAGGGTGTGCCCTGGAAAGAACCTTGGGCTTGTGTCTGTGAACCTTTGGGTGGCTAAGTTGGTGCACCATTTCAAGTGGGTCCCAGACAGGGCTAAACCAGTTGAACTAAGTGAAGTGTTGAAATTGTCTTGCGAGATGAAGTTTCCTATGTCTGTTGTGGCTGCTCCAAGAAATGTTTCCTTCTAGGGTTTTTTCTTGTGATTTTGACCAAGTTATTTTATGCTGTCAAAGTTTGAGTCCGAATTTTTTTTTTTTTTAGTGGGGTGTTGTGGAAGATTGTCTAGTATTGTCTTTAGTCCTTTTTTGTGGGTGCTTCCATTTTTTATGTTTGCATTGTTTTTTGTTTAAATGGGGTACCAACAAAGGGGTTTGTAGACTGGGTCGCAAGGGATCATCTTTTTTATATGTTGTAATATTTCGTATTTATATATGAAAAGTATTGTTACTATTGTATACTTGTCACTTCTCATGTGTGGATTTGTATATTCTTTAAGACAAAGAAAGGAGAGTCAATGCCTTCAATGAATGAGTAAACAACTAAATGGTGGAATCAGGGATCAGGAGACACGGTTGGTGTTTTACCATAAAATTATCTAGTCAAGAATTTAATCTCACAAGTAGAAGAGCATAACCTACACGAAAACAATGTACCTTTGATTCAATTAAAAAATTAGTACTTTGAATACAATTTTAAAATAACAAAGAAAGACCAAGAACCAAAAGTTTTGAAACCCAAGTTTAGATTAAAAGAGAAGACTTGATATAGGCTACAGATTAATGTGGTCTTTTCAGCCTAGTGGAATTTCAAAGCTTTGAAGAACGCTATGGAATCGAAGAAAAATATTTAGAATATCATTGGAAAATGAATTTTAATTGTGAGGTATCGACCACATAAATAATAAAGTAAATAGGTAAATTATATCAATGGTTCATAAGGTTTAGTTCTTAATGTTTTAATTTTGTCAATTTCGTTTTTCATATTAACACATTAACTCACTTTTGTCCTCTTATCATTAATTATCTTTCAAATAATAGACGAAAAATGGCGTGTGCTTGACACATGAGGAGATTAAGGGGCATTTTTGTCATTGTGCTTTAAAAAATAAGGGGCACAAATAGAAAAACATCTCTTTAAAGAAAAACCAAGCAACCACATCCCCTTCCCCTTTCCGCTGCGCGCTTGCCAGCGATTTATCGGCAGGACTCATTGATTATCCTTCCAACTGAAATACACCCCACTGTCTATCTCTCTCTCTCTCTCACACACACACATAAACATATACTCACACAAATGCCCAACTTCCCCTTCCCCTGAACGCTTGCCGGCGGTTCACAGATAGGACTCAAAGACTATCCTTCTAAGTAAATACATCCCACTCTCTCTCTAAATACATACACACACAAATGCATAGAGGCAATTCAAATATGCTCAACAAGTCAAATTAAGTGATGGGACATTTTCAGATACTCCAAGATGACAACACGTGTCCTCGGCGTCAATAGATACTCGCCGATCAGATCACAACACGTGCGCGTTGGTCCATAGTCCCCCTTCCCTTGAGATACCATTCACAGGGATCAAGAATCCCCTGTATCCCATAGACCGACACGTATCCCTCTGTCGGTTTGGAGTACATCGGCCCCTAGCGACGCTGGATCTTCGGTACCAAGGTATATCCATCTACGAAGCATTTATGCTTCTGCAGGGCTATTGATGAACAAATCACTAGCCTAGACTAGGCTGGACTAGCCAGCATGACCTCATCTTACTTAAATGGTGTCAGGAGGCACAAGAAAGTATAAGGCTCAACCAAGGGGGAATGGGCACGTGGCGTATTGTATCAGATCAAGGATAAAAAGACCAGAATGCCCTTACTGACACACAACTTGGGAAAACAAGTATTTAATGTAACATTCCCTTGATGAGACAACATTTAATGCATGAGAGGCTGAAAGTGAAGGGTAATAAATATTCCAAAGCCTGGGCATTTAATACACCCCTGCCGAGAGATGGTCACTAAACGTTTAGCAGACCGAGGAGAAATCATTAGTTACTCGGGGTCCCGAGCAGTTAAGAGTAAGAACATTACTCATAGAAATTGGTGTGCACATTGCCCACCTCCAATGATTACCTACTAGCTACGATGTCAGTAATGATGAATTTTTAAGGTATAAATAGTCCTCATAAACACGTAAAAGAGGTACGTAACAAACCCTCTCTCAACCATCATACAGTGTTTTCTTCTTTCCCTATCTCAAAGAACTGACTTGATCGACTGAGGGGATACGCCGAAAAACACTCCGGTGCCCTTCTAACCTATTTTTCTTTGTTCCAGGAACCTCCTTTAGCCTTCTAGGATCACTCAGGCGACCCCTAGAAATAATTCGTCATCACTTCATTTGCTACTCTTGACCCTCACAACCTGTTCCAAGTAGCAAGATCGGTCACTCGACTGGCAGACTCGTGTTCACCACGGAAGAGATCTGTTCTCGTGTTTATATTGTGCAAGATTGTGCACGCACAATCTGGCGCCATCTGTGGGAAACGACTAGTTTTCCTAATTCCATTTCTAGAAAGAACAGTGACCATGGTGAATACTCGACAGAAAGGGAAAGGTCCCCAGCAAATAAGTCTCGAGTTACAAGTTCCTCATAATGACAAGGGGAGGGATCACGCTGGTGACAACATGAACGTTTCTGTTCAGTCAAGGGGGAAGACTCCTCTAACCAGTATGGGCATTGGGTCAGGGGGATCCGCCCCCTTGGCTCGTCAACTGGCGGAAGTGATCGAAGAAAAGTTTAGGGATCCCCAACAATGGATCAAGAGACTCATTCCGTTCCCGCGGATGCTCCGTTCGGGAAGCAGAAACCGAGGACCTGAGAAATCACTTGAACAACAAAGCTAAGAGTTTCAGGGTCCCAAAGCGCCCAAGAGCCAATGAGCACCCCGTCGATGGTCATTCTAGGAAGGCGAGGCCTTTGGCTTGGGACGACCTCCGGCAAAGCCTGTTAAGGCGCGGGAAAAGGGACGAGTCCGAGGAGGATTCAACCCTTTCCACACGATGCCCGGAGAAGGGGAACCCCATCAACGACCTTAGAAATCTCAGAGGACATCCCCTTGAGGTGGAGACTGATCTCAGAGCTCGGCTGAAATCTAGAAGAAGGGGCAAGGCCGTCCAGGACGATGCAGAAGACGAGGCAATGCAATCCCCTTTTACTAGGGATATCCAAGAGATGGAGGTACCAAAGAAGTTTGTCGTGCCAAGGTTTAAAACTTATAATGGGAGATCTGATCCCGAAGCTCATCTCAGGCAGTACAAGCAAATGATGTCCCTCTATCACTCAGACCAACGGTTCCTCTGTCGAGTGTTTTCCATGAGTTTAGGAGATTTCAGTATGAAGTGGTTCGAGACTCTTCCTCCCAATGAAATTGGGTTATGGAAGGAGTTGACGAGGCAGTTTTTAGCCTGATTCATTACGGGGAGTAAACAGCCCAAAGATATTGGATCATTACTGACCCTCAGGCAGAGGGAAACAAAAACCCTTTGCCAGTACGCCATCAGGTACTGGGAGGAGGTCAATGAGATAGAGGGGTGTTCGAAAGTCATGGCAGCCGCATCCTTTAGGCTCGGCCTGGCGAGGGACATGGACCTGTACTGATCCCTGACTAAGAAGACTCCCTCAGATATGTGCGAATTGATGGCCCGGATAAACAAATACTCCAGGTTTGAAGATGGAATTGGGGGCGGCAAAGGCAAAACTCTTGCTCCTAGGAGAAAAGAGAAGGAAAGGGAGGACACCTCCCGAAAAGGGCTGGTACCCCCTCCAAGAGGGCCATTTAAAGGTGTCCACATTGTATTCAAAGAACCCATCTACAAGTTGCTCTATAAAATCGGGCATGAGTCATTCTTCAAGTAGCCGCCTAGGATGCAGAGTGATCATTCTACCTGTGATCAAAAAGTCAGGTGCTCCTATCACCGGGAATTCGGCCATCGCACCGAAGATTGTAAAGTGTACAAATCTTTCTTGGAAGGGCTGGTCCAAGATGGTTACTTGAAGGAATACATCAAACGAAAGTCGGAGGGACATGCCCCTACCCCCAACCGTGGCACAAGACAACGTCATAGACGTGATCCATGTGTGTCCGCTAGATCGCCCAACGTCCAAAGAGCTTGAGTCCGATCTCAAGAGGGTAGCCCTTACGAGGAAATTTACCGAGGGCGATGGGGGTCTGCCCAGCAAGAGGGCCAGGACTAGCGAGTCGGGTATCACGTTCTCCGAAGCGGACTTGGCAGGCGTGGTGACTCCCCATAATGACGCCCTAATCATAACTCTGAAAATAGGCAAGTTCGATGTTAAGAAGGTGGTGGTAGATTCTGGGAGTTCCTCGGAGGTGATGTACTCCGAAACCTTAAAGCGGATGAGCTTTAGCCTCAAGGACCTCACTAAGGTTAGG